ACGCCCAGCCCTGACCCTTCCCCTCATCCTGCCTGGTCTCTGAAGGAGTTTCCCCATCGTCCCTAAGACCCCTGTGAGGCTAACCACACGGAGCCACTAGACGCAGCGGGGCCTGGCTTCTCCCCTCCCTCAGCTCTGCTGGCCGGAAGCCTTCCATTTTCAAAGGGAAAGCACAGTGTCTTCCTCGGGTGATGTATCGACAAGCCTGATCTTTAAAGATACCCCCTGCTCCTGGGGGCCTGCTCAGCAAACAGGGCATCCGTGGCCCCCGTGTTTGCCCACTTTGACAAGCAGGGACTGAGCAGCTCTCTGGGAAGCGCTGCTGACATATTGACTGGCTCTCTTGTCAGGTTGATCCTCTGCCAGCCAATGAACATGGAAGGTTCTAAGTGGCACCCAGCAGGGCCCACACACACCCTAATTACTATTTCACACAACCCCTATTCCAAGCAGCCCCCTTTCAAGGCCTGTGATCTCCCATCCGAGTGGTTGCTGGAGACTTCTGTTACCTGCAACCAACCCCACTCCCTTCCTGTTGCTTGGGTGTCCTGTGAGGGTGTCTTTTAGAGCCCATCTGGCACAAACACAGGCGACTTCAATAACAAAATAACACCCTAACCCCAGGTAGGTCTGTTTCGTATTCCTGCCGAATTCCGGGGCCTGTGTGTGGTCTGTCCATCCTGCCTTGGTTCCCTTTCAGCCCTCGATGAAAGTTTTTTTTCCGTTTAGCCAGAGGGAAACTTTCAGAGTTTGGCTGCCTACTGTGTTTTTAGTGGCTGATTTCCCAGCTGCCACCTGGATTACGCGAGCTTCCACTTGGAGCCTTTCCCTGTTCCATCCTTGCTGACCCGTGGAGCCCGATTGTTCTGTCCGAGGGTCCCTCTGGAGCAGAGCCTGTCACATCGTGATAAATTGTGCCTTTTGGCTGCCAGCGGGGGTGAATAATGTTAGGGAGAGAGCCTCCCAAACTCATTTCACTTCTGACCCTCAGATGGTCTGCACAAGACCTTTTGGGATGAGCTGCCCGAGCATTTGTGGGGAGTGGAAGAGGGGACCACCCGCTGTATCCAGCTGATGTGAGATGGTAAGGCCAGTGTTTACCAAAGATCTCCAGATGAAGAAGCAATGAGCCTGCCTACTCCGAGGCTTCTCAGCCTTCTAAATATGAATCTAAGAGTGGACCACAACTGGATGCATTATGGCATAATGGTTTCGGTTTTTTAGTTTTATTGGGGAACAGCCATGGTCATTGGTTACCCACTGCTTTCATGCTACAATGGCATAGTTGACTCTTTTAGGGATGGCGCAGCTCACAGTGTCCCATGCAGGGATCGAACCGGCAACCTTGGTGTTATCAGCACCATGCTCTAACCAACTGAGCTAACTGGTCACCCCCGTGGCATAATGTTTAAAGAGCTATGTTTAGTTGTTGTTCATAGAACCAATGTAGTGGCCCTGAATATGAGCTAACTTTTCCTGGTTGGGTTTTGGGCAAGATCTCACCATATAAATAAATAACTTCAAGGAATACAGCAAGACCTGGCATATCAACATGGAGTTTCTCACTTTCCTTATGAGTGAATGCATGAGTCCAGGTCATCTCAGGCAGGCTGCTGTAACCAAGAGCTCCAAGTTCTCAGTGGCTTTCAACAGTAACACTGTATTTCTTCACCCATTCTGTGTCCTATCACCGGTCAGCCATGGCTCTGAGCCATGTTATCTTCACTCAAGATCCAGGCTGACCGTGTGGCAGAGGACAAAAGAGGTGCAAAGTGTGTGCTACTAGGTCACCTGGCCACACCTAAATTTGACGTGATGAAGACATATAACCCCCTTCTGGAAGGGATGCTGAATATAGAAAATGGTCATTGAATGACCACAATGAGATTATCATGCGTCACAAGAAAGCAACCAGGTTTCTTGAGATCCTGTTGCAAACCGGAATTTGTGAGCAGATCACTATGAAAGATGCAGTAGCCAACCGCATCCTACGGTACTCCTCCTCGGACCCCCAAACCCTCCTGCCATCAAACTTCACAGCCACCGGTTTCCTCACCTGTGAGATGAGGATTATGATGTGATCCGTGAGTCCTGATTCAGATAATGTCTGTAGAGAGTCTCCCACATTGCTGGGCACAGAAGGGGTTCAAGCACTGGCCGCAGATATTGATATACTAATGATTGAAATACCTCCTCTTTGCAGACCCGTCCGTCTGGCTGCCATCGCTGTTTCATTTCCTCCTTGACACCTCTGTATTATGTAGTTTTCATTGGTAAGAATATAATGCTCCACAGTGCAACCCCTCAGTCTCACTCTGTGTGTCATACTTATGCTAATAAACATTTAGGGAGTGACTTCAATATTCAACGTGCTCTGCTTGATCTTCTGGGGGCTGCAGATGCTTAACCCCCCTCTGTCCCTGAGCAGCCATTATTCTATCTGTAAAGAGAAACCTTTTCAAAAGGGAAAGGGGAGGTGGACTGACTGACTGACTTGACTTGTCATCCCCAGCCATAGAGCAAATCAGGAGCAGAATAAGAAACAGAGTTCTCATTAGTCAGGAAACTCATTTGCTTCACAGCTCCCCTGGGTCTTTCTCCTAAGGACACGTTAGTCCATCCCCACAGGCCAGAAAGATTTTCTCATTTTCTTAAGAAAGAGAGAAGGAATAGCTGATCAAGAAGAAAAGTGCAAACAAAAGCCTATTTCAAATTCCCCTCCCCCACAAAAAACGCGAGAAGGTGGTTACTCTCCTGATAGAGTTCTCACTTATTTACTTAACGTTCAGTTCCACAACAGGAAATATGCCCAAACTTGAGTTTCATGTTTGCTGCATGGCTTCAGCTGGGAGGAGAGAGCTCATGCTTGCTAGATTTGGCTTTTCCCCTTTCTTTATCTTCATCTCACTTTCTTATTTTTCTTTTCACTTCTGAGAGTTGTCTGAGAAGTTACTTGTATACTCTGACCCTAACCCTTCTCACCCCATCTGTCGTTTTCTTGTTTTCAAAATACTTTTTTTTTTTTGAATAAAGAGATGCTATGGAATCCTAAACAAAAGGTGGGGGGAGCCATTTTGACCAGCGTTTTCATATTGACGGGGCACTGCGGGGGTTGTTGTCCTGGCCTGATGGACCCACCATTCCCTTTTATAGACGTGAAAAAGCAAAGCTTTGGGAGGCCTGGGCCCCGGCTACTTCTATCCGTGTCTATCTCCAAACACAGAGAGACCCCCACCTCGAGAAAGCCGCACCTCCACCGCGGCAGCAAGCTAGCTCAAGGCAGGCCCTGATAACCCAATAGTAACATTTTAAAAAAATCGTTTTAAAATAGCTAATTCCTTGGCTCCCTTCACCTTGTAATTACAAATCAGAAGCTATCGTTATCTTGAAGCCACCACGATTAGTTCTCATTTCCTGACCTCTGTACAGTGAAAATATGTCATGATTTGAGGCAGTAGAATCTGGTCTCTTCAAGTAAGTGACCTACATATAACAGATAAACTGCAGGGGAAAATTAGGTGTTACCTTGATGGAAAGTGTACAGTAAATGTCACATGCTCTTATTAGTATTTATCATCTCGAAGAGTTGCAGCAGTGGGCTTTGCACTTCAGAGGAATGCATAGAAACAACACGTGGGCGGTTCTGAGCTGGAGAGGTATGTAAACAAAACAAAACAAAAAAGCAGACATACTCACAGGGGTACCTCGCCGCCTTCATCTGCAGCCATCAGGCTGAGCCGTATTGTTGGAGGTTAGGTTTTTCACCTTAATAGAGCACAGCCTGACTTTCGGCGGTGGTAGGCATGCAGCATTAATTGCCGTGTGAACCATGTCCCAAGCATTGTTAATTGTGTTTCCTGTGGTTAATTGTTTCTCCCATCCCGACATCTGACTGGGAACCTTTCCCTGTCAACAGCCCTTTCTCTCCACAGCACGGGAAACATGGCAACAGCATCAGACTGTGCCCGGTGGAAATGCCAGACAGACGGGGCGATTATTGTTTGGGCGGAAAATATGCAGGGAGATGAGGTCCTTATTTATTTGCAAATGAAGCATTTCTTAGGGAGGGGGACTTGGAAAGAGGGCTGGCTGTTTGGGGTTTGCTTTTGACTGCACGGAGTCCAACAACTCACCAAGAAGCAAGCGTCAGAGACGGGGGGGTATGGAGTTTGTTAGAGTAATTGGGAAGTGGGGAAGTGGGACAGACAGAGGGACAGGGAAGACCAGGGGGAGCTTGTTCCGGGAGGTTTGAGGTGCACATGGGAGTAAAGCAAGAGACATGCGGACAGACGTGCTTGTGTCCTGAGCAGAGAAGGCAGCGCCCAGAGCTCTGTCTCATTCTGCACCATGGCAATGGGGGGAATTTGATATTTTCAGGAAAGGACCCCATCTCACCACCACTCGCAAAGCTGTTTCCACAAGGGGTGGAAGGAAAAGTATTTTTAAAGTTGGAAATAGGGGTGGTGGGCTTTGCAATGGGCCAGACACAGCTGGCCACATTGGTGTTTCGGTGCCAGCACAGAATCAGACCAGCAGGCTGGGTGGCCTGGTCTTGAAGCTGATTCACATTTTAAGTCATTTGGGGGAAACGATCCTTGTCAGTAGCCCTTGGACTACCAGCCTAAGAGCAGTCAGCTGCGTCCAGGGCATGGGAAAGGCTGGATGTGATGGAGCCGTGCCCTTGAAGTCACTCCGGAGGGGCTTTTCCGCCTCCTTGGTGGCACCATGTGGAAGGTCTGGGCTATGTTTTCTCCTCCCTCCTCTGCTCGCCACGGGGCTCCTCTCCCCCCTGAGGCTGTGAATAGCAGCAGGACTGGAGACAAACCATCCAGATCTACCTGCTCTCTGTATTTAGCTTTTCCCTGCGGCCTGGGGCCAGCCACTTTGAACTACAGCTGCCTTAAAAGGCAGTCGCTTGGAAGAGACACCTGGCTCTCCCCCTTGACATTTGCATTGCTGAATTATCTATTCATATTTTCATTACTTTGTCTCTCCTGCAGCAATGCATCTGCTCGGACTCAATTGGCAACTCCAGCCGGCAGATGGACACACCTTTAACAATGGGATAAGGACCGGCTTACCAGGAAGCGATGATGTGGCAACAATGCCATCTGGAGGCAAAGGTGAGGTTACAGCTGCTGCTTGCCCTCTCGAGGTCACAGGGAATTTCAGAGCTCTGGCCAGCTGGTTCACGCTTACTAACCCAAACCTTGGGATGTATGCAAAAAGGGAAAGAAAAGGGAATTTAAAAAAAAAAAAGTTGCCTTTCCTAGGTGCCCCCGTTCAAAGCTGTTTGCTGTTCCTGCCTGTTAGCTGTGTTTGGCTGAAGTCTCTCAGAGCTGGCGTGGTGCCTGCTCTCAGCAGTGTGCATACCTCTGCTATCTGCAGCCACTGGCACTGGCTGCCGCTACTTGAAAGCATCCCAAAGCCTGGGCAGAGGCGGCAGCAACAGCAGCAGCTGGAGTGGCGACAGCAGCAGCAGAAGCGAGTCCTTCCTAATCGAGAAAGCCCGGAGCAGCCACATGCGGAGAGCCCTCTCCCCAGAAGGCATGCGGCTTCCCAGGGGAGGAAGCCCCCACCCCCACCACCCCCACCCTACTGATCCCCCCACACACACACACCTCAAGAAAAAGGAAGATTCAGACTCAGAGCAGTTCGGCTTTGGGGGAGAATAGACAGGAGTTTTGACAACTTGGGAAACAAGGCTTCTCGGAATAGCAAAGGGGACAATAGAAATGTTTATTGAAACAATCAGGTATCTGTATTCTCGCAGGGAAAAAAAAGGTGCTAACAAGGTGCTAAAAAGGAGGAGAGAAAACAGAGCCATGGGGAGGTGGGGACATGGGGCAATGAAAAGACACGAGCAGCCAATGGCCCGGTTCTGCTTAATTCAAGATGGAAATTACAAATGGGGGAGATTCTGCGGGAGACCTTCTCCACCCTGCCCCTTGGCAGGCATGGGCAGCTGTAATGCTTCAACTGTGACTTTTTTTGTCTTTTTATCTTGTGAATAACTGCTCTACTCTTCTGTCCTAATCCTAACACTAAATTACCTTTAAGTAAGCATGGAAAAGTTTTAGCTGAGGATAAAATTATATGCTTTCCATTATTAGGTAACTGAAACTACGCCTAAAAAATGAAAAAGTACATTTTGTCTTAACTGATCATATTCTGCCTTAACTGACCCAAAAGCCCAAAGCCAGATTTGTTGGCCTCGGATTTTAATCCATTTGTTTCCAGTGCTGACACCATCTGCAGCTTTGGTTTCCTTTATGACACTGGTTCTCAGCTGGGGCATTTCTGCCCAACGGGGGGCCATTTGGCAACGTCTAAAGATTTTTTTGATTGTCACAATCAGAGTAGGTGCAACTGGCCTCGAGTGGATCCAGACCAAGATGCAATGAAACATCCTACAAAGCACAGGATAGCTCTGCAGTGAAAAACTATCCTGCCCAAAATGGCAGCAGGGCTGTTCTTTGGGAAGCCCTGCTTTGGGGGGGGGTAGGGGGGGTGGGTCAGTTATATTTTACCCATAAATGTCCTTGACTCTGTAAGTCAGCACCCTGTTCTTTGAGAAGAACACAGAATCCGCATTTGAAGGTGAATATTCTACCTTCGGGCTCCGGGATGTCGATCATGGGTGCATGCACTCTGAAGTTACACACAAACCATTTTTACGTATTGTCCTTCACGAAGGGGCACCGCTGATAGGCCTTAACTTCCACCCATGAAGGTCAGCGTCTCCTCCCCTTTGTGATTAAGCTTCCTTTGGACCCCCGCCCCACTTTAGCACCCCACACCAGCACAGGCAGAGCACAGGAAGGAGACTCCCCACAGAGAACAAGCCCTAACCGAGAGGATAGTGTCTCTAACAAATGAAGAAACTCTTTCCATGGTGGCTTTGGAAAGGCCAGAATTTTTCCGCCCCCTATTCAACCCACTTTTGAAACTGTTGTGTAAGTCGTATAACATCACCAGTTCAGATATTTTCCAAGTGAGTTATGAGGCAGACAACAGGGTTGCCAAATTGTTGTCCAATGAATTTTATGAATAGGACTCTTATGAAGAAGGATGGGAATTTAAAACTGCTTGAAGTTGAAAGTTGAAGGAAAACTCGAAACATCTTGTTTCTGAACACCAACAGTACACTTCTGAGGACTGAAGATAGCAGACTTCTTTAATTTGATGTAAAATTTGGTTAAAAAAAAAAACAATTAGACGGGTTTTAGTTTTCTCATACTTGGCTAACTCTTCTCGAGAAAGTGACCTTAGGTTTGAATTTCTTTACCCAGTGACTCCCTCTTGCTCCCCAGTTCTCTACATTTAGATAACCTGAATTAATTCCAATTGACTACTTTTCCAGGGTTTCAAAGAGACAATCAAGAAATATTGGCAATAAGTTAATTAAATAACACCCCCTCTGTTTTTTTGTGTGGTAGATGATAATCCTTCATTCTCATCATGTTTTAATCAAGATACACCACACAGTGCCAGGGAGGTTAACCTTATTAAGTAATTACTGGGGTAAGTATCCAGCAGAAGCAAATTAAAATGTAAGCAAAACACGGACATGCGAGTGCCGTCTAAGATGGCCCATCGATAGAGATTTCGTTACCTGGTCTTTAGAAGCGTTTATCGTTCTCAGATTTGGAAAGACATCTAATAGACAGGGCAGCCTACACACTGTGATACGTTACTGGAACCACAGCACTTGATTAATTAGTCAGGAGAGTATGTTCCTTGGCTTTTGTGTCCCTTTTCCATTTGTTTGGTTCATGGTTTATTTTTCTCCGTTCTCTCTTTCAATTAAACCTTAACGTGGTTGGTTGTTGGGTTTCGCGTCAAGGAAAGGGAGCCCACCGACTGCCAGAATCACTCACCATCTCGCATGTATTTCTGTGTTAAAAGGAATGAACTCATACATCTTCATTACAAGAGCACGGAGCACTTTTTCTATAGATCTGGGATTAGATAAGCCTGGAGAACAAAGATTCAATACAGTGCTCTGACCTGGTCAGATAACATAAGGGAATCCAGTGTGATTGGCGAGGCCCAGAGGCAAAGTACACAAGAGCTTTCAAAGGGCACATGGTGTGGAGCCAATTTGCTCCCTGATCTTAAGAAAGAATAAGCTCCCAAGTGGAATTTCAGGGATCATTCTCAAAACCTATCACTCGTTGTAAATTCAAGGTATCCTTTGTATCGGGAGTCAGCAAATGACATCTCGTGGACCAAACCTGGCCCACTGCCTGTTTTTGCAAATAAAGTTTTATCGGAGCACAGCCATGCTCATTCATTGTCTAGGGCTGCATTTGCACCACAGCCATGCAGTTGACTGGTTGCAATGAAGACCAGACAGCTCAAAAAGCCTAAAATACTTACTATCTGGCCCTTCATGGAAAAAGTTTGCTGACAGCTCTACAAGTATATCATTTACAGACCCATTCCTACTTTCTGTGCCCTTTCCTGTAACTACAGAAATTATAGAGATCTAACAAGAAGAGACCCAACTCCCAGTAGATCCGATCTTCTTCTTGACCAAGAGTTGGGTATGAGCCATGCTTGGCAACTTGGCATTGACAGGTCCTCCATAATATAGGACTCTGGAGTTGGTCCAGCCAGATACAAACTCCAGCTCCATCGCTTCTCAGCTGCCCGAGCTTAGGCAGGACCTGTGTTCTCCTTCAGCCTGTGATTCCTCGTCTGTAAAATGGACCCCACACACACACACACAAGTGTGCTATCCAGCATAAAGGACACAACTCTTATAAAACACGGTGTGTGGTATCAGGCTTTAATAAGAGATGGGTGAATATTAGCTGTCACTGACATCATCATGACATCCAGCTGGTGCATTGAACAAGCCTCTGGAGGCTGCCACTTCTTACGAGGTGCTGTATTTTCTAAAGGCAGAGGCTGCCTTCAGAATGTCAGGACAGGCACCCATGCTGCTTCATCTTTTTCTTTTCTTTTTACCCACCTGAAGATTTCTTCCTACCCATTTGCCTGATGAGGTCAGTGGGAGGCAGGACTTGCCGTTCAAAAGGTCCAACGTGCAAAAAGCTAGCCCGTCCGCCACAGCGCTGTTTGCCTCCCTGAAGCCGGAACTCCATCACTGCCAGCCTTTAAGCCCCACCATTCTCGGTTTATAACTCAGCTGTAAACATTTATTTGTGCCTGGAGCACATTTCCTTCCTACCATTTGAGAAAAAAAGAAAAAAATCAGAATAACCAGATGGCATGCAAGTTGGGAAAAAATGGCAAAGACTGTTATTCTGTTTAGAAACATGTTTTTCTACACTTGCCCTTTCAGCAAAAACTTCATAATGATTTTTACGAGTTGGCTTAATGCATGGTGCTAGGAGCCAGATTAGTAGGGCGGTTGCTAATTCTTCCTCTGGCTCTTGTCTCAGGGAACACAGCCCAGGGTTCCAAAATGATCACTTCCCTACCTGAGGCTTTTTCACAGTTGATGAAGTTCCCAGAAGGCACGGGGTCATTGTTTGAACCAGCTGTTAACAGTGTTGCATGTCTACTGGCAAACATAGCAGTAGCCCATGTAGTGACACCACACCTGCCTTCTTTTTGGAGGCCATGTTTTCCCACCATGGCTGCAGAGTGGTAAGGTGGGTGCAGTTTGGTATTGGTCAGACATGGCTTTTTTTCAGTCCCAGCTCTACCGCTTAAGAGCTGTGTGACCTTAAGCAAGTCATTTTACCTCCATGGTCCTCTCATTTGAAAAAATGGGAGAAACCATTGGGAGATTGTATGGCAAGTAGTAACCACTCCATAATTTTTAGCTGCTATAATACTAATAAACTGAACTACAAATTGAGGCAGAGGCAGGAACACTGGAACAGTCAGATGTATAAGTATCTGGGGACCCTCCTAGTGACAAAGAGTTGACGGTTTTTATCTAAGGCGACAAACGCAGGTTTCAAAAGATGCAAAGTCTACGGACTTTTATAAAATCATTATTACTGTGCGATGTTGTGAATATAGTCACAGGAGCCGTAACACTTGGGCTAGAAATTTATTCCTGAAGAATAGCGAGCCAGGAGCAGGGTGAGGGCTGATGAGCTGTGGTGACTCAGAGGAGTGTCATCTAAGGCAGTGAATCTAC